AAATGATGATCAATTACAGTATTTCATTTATATCTGCATTCTTGTGTTCCTTTAACACAGAATTTCATGAGCTTTAAATAACTGTGATAAATAAATAGGATCAACAGCAAAGAAGTATTAAGAGGAACTGAATGAAAAATGAAAATTTCCTACACTCAAATTTTTAACCTAAAATTATTTCTTTAAAAACAATACAGAACCAGTTGTTCAGATACTCACTTGATTTGTATCAAAGTTGTATAAGAAATTTGACCAGTTGGGATCAGTTTGCATAAATCTGAATAAAAAAATTTCCCTCAAACACAGATTCAAAAGATTTTCACAAACCTAAAATTATAAAAAAAAATATTGTAATACTGCAAATTAAATATGTGCTTTTATTAAGTACAGTAAATACAAGAAAACACTGTTAGCAGTGATAATGATGCACTTCCCTTGTTTCTCAAAGCTTGATCAGCATTTTGAAGTTTGTCTACTGGAGTTCCATAAACCAATTCTGTAGTAAGCACATTTGTAGTGCATAAATCTTCGTAAACTTCTGGAACTAAGAATTCTTCATAGGATTCTAACAATTTTCTAAAAGAAAGCATAATGTAAACAATTTAACTCCACAGCTATGCATAAAGAATACATAAATGTATATATAAAATCTTATCAGGAATAAAATGTGAAAGTATATATGTCTAAAGATATACTTAAAAGTTTTCCCAGACTGAGCTTCATTAATGTAATCAACTTCCCTTCTCAATTCACGTTCAGCAACTGCCAAAACATTTTCTAAATACATGCCTAGATAACAAAAAATAAATAATAAATGTATGACTGACACTTAAAAGGTACATCATACAGCAGGTGACATTGGGCAATAAAAAGAGAACAAAATACAATTAGTACAAATTTTTTTTATTTTTAATGTAAAGGCATAACTGAATTTTCCGATTTAAAAAAAATGAAAAGGGCAACACAAGTCCTATCCCAAATTTTATTTTACCAACAGGCAGAACCATTTGTCTTCACTCTGCTTAGCCATTTTGTCTTCACTCTGCTTTAAAGATATGTCCCAGATGCTTGTCCGTAAAAATTCACTCTTTAAGCTCCATCTAAAAGTTCTGCTGTGTACATTTAGTCATTGCATTTATTATTACAATAAAAAGTCCGAAATCTGGACGTTCATTATCCGGAATGATCTAAAATCCGGACCTTATAATTAGCCATTTTGTCTTCACTCTGCTTTAAAGATATGTCCCAAATGCTTGTTCGTAAAAATTCACTCTTTAATCTCCATCCAAAAGTTCTGCTGTGTACATTAGTCATCATTGCCTTTATTATTACAATACAAAGTCCGAAATCCAGACGTCCATTATCGGGAATGATCTAAAATCAGAGACCTCAAAACCACCAATGACGTTTTTCACACAGGCTTTAAGCAAGTGCATTTAATTCCCCCCTCCGCTCATAATGAAACATCTGGAGAGTCCTGATTCTTAATTTCACTTCGACATTAAATAAAATACATTGTTATTGAAGACACAATCATTTTAGCATAAATTTGTACGATCAGTAATTTGGCTCCATTGCTGCATATCTGCTTTGGCCCGAAACATTCCACACAAATACATCGTTGACCTGGCGGATCATGATTTATTATACTTTTCTTCCATCACCACGTTTATCAAAACATAACAACTTGAGTAATGACTTATGTAGCGATGCCTAAAATTTTTTTTTTTTAATGTTAGTAATTGAATAATAAAGGAGTATGATAACCTTTTATGTTGACATTACGCTTGGCGATGATTACAGATTTAAGTTGAATTCTCTAAAAAATGTTGATGAGGAAAAATTTGCCAAAAATTTCTTTCTATATGCTAAAAATAGATTTTGTTGATGATACTCATAGACTCAAAGATTACACTTAGGGCTATTTGAATTACGAATAACTAATTTGTTATTCACATAAACCCAGAACCGGTGCCAGGGCTCATACCGAGTCACAGAACTTAGGACCAACAGAGACTGCATCCGGCGAAGATATCTAGTGCCGGCCCTCAATAAGGCTTAAGTATATGTGGGAATTTATTTATTCAGAACTCTGATAAGAAGAAAGTGCATGACATATTGTGCAAGAAATAGACCTAAGTATAATAAATAGTTAAACAAATACAATTCAGGTTTAATTGTCTCAGTGCGTGATAAAAGCAAGATAAAATTTAACGGAACAACTTGTCGCTAGTTGCCAAGCTCATGATGCAGCCAAATATGTATAGTGAACGACAGCTAAATTTTATGATGATAGCCACTAATTTTAAAGGTTTTTCAGATTTTCCAATTAATGGATTTTATAAAGAAATGTGGAGAAGCGATAATAAATGAAGATGATATAAAAGAAGTTTTTCATTGTGATGAAAATGCTTCTCAATCATCAATCAATTAATTAATGAATGATGAAATCAGTAGTATGGTTCTAGGTCGAGAAAATACCGCTACTGATAGTGAAGAAGAAAGTGACGGAGAGTTACTGCAAACGAGAAAATTTTGATTGACAAATAGTCGGAAATTTCCACACAACAGTTACAGGACTTCAACAATGTAACTAAACAAGAGATTACGTCTGTCTACAAAATTAAAAAAGAAAGTATTAGCACAAAAAACGAAGCAACTTAAATAACTTACTTGAAAGAAATGTTTTAATAAGGAAACAAATAATATTAAGCTTTTCTTTGTAATTTTCATACCCTTTATTCATAATACTTCATTATTTCATAAATCACGATTTCATATTTTTAATTTTATAATATCTACATGCCATCTTATTAGATTTAAACTTATGATCTAATATCCGGAAAAATCCAGAATCGCCAAAATCCTGATGAATCCTGATTTTGGGACTTTGTACTGTATTACAATCTCAGCATGAATAGCATTTTTTCAGTCTTCAAAAGTCTGCAGTTTATTTTTAAAGATTTTGTTTTAGGGATACCTAAAACCTCAAGAAAATAAATAATCACAAGAGGATAGACCTAGTCAATCTTTCAAGACAGAAACAGTGGCGTAAATAAGGGTATGCAAGGAATGCCGTCGCATAGGGGCCCTTGAGTGTCCTACTGAACTACATTTACATGCTTAAACCACAGATTCTATTATCTATCAACACATACATAATAGAACCTTCTTCCTTTAAGTTTCTAAGGGCCCCCCTAATATACGACGCAAATAGGGGGACCTTGGAAGCAGATGAAACAGCTAAATTCAGTGTTACAGACACCTATATTTCAACTGAAGGAAAACAAAAAGGCTGTATGCTTTCGTTTCAATTCCCCTCTAGAAAACAGCTTTCAAGTTATTAATAACAACCGAGGCCAGGCTGTTGCTCATCTATTGTAAGAACAAGTTCGAAATTTCTTGAGGCGGGCATGTGCAAGATGCAGTCCAAGTTGTAAGAAAAATACGCAAATATTTCGAAATTCTTCAAAATATTTACATGCATTTCGGAGAAAGTTTAAGAAGATGGAGTTTATTGTCTTCAGGAAACTCTAATACTACTTTCAAAATTCTAAATCCTACAAGGTGAGCTGGACGATTATCATTTTTTATAGCAATTAAACTAAGATACTTTGACATCTTAAAAACAGTAAATTAAGTTATATTAACGTCAAAGAAAGCGCAAAGAAAAGACATTGCGAATGGGTTAAAAAAATGGAGTCTTTTAAATTTTTATTCTTAACAATTTTTAAAAAAACGTTTTATATTTTACTAATGCAGCGTCTCAAGTACTACAAAGAAATCAATCTCATCAATATCTAAAAGATGTTTCTTCATATGCAAAATATGAGAAACATTTGAATACATATGAAAGAGCTGAGTTTGTTGCCAATAAATGGAGCACAGGAACTAAACTTGAAAAAAAAAAAAAAAAAAAAGACAAACAAAATTTTTATGGTTTTAATGTGAGGATTACAGGTTTGAAAATTCCGAAATACCTTTTAAAGTAACTGTTTTTTTATGTTGCTGTCACTATTTTAAATACTCAGTTAACATATAGAATGACTGGAAGGACAAAAATTGCAATAATGTTTTCCTTTTTTGGATCTAAAAATCTGTCATCATTACAAATGCAGAAATTAATTATAATTATTTCAAAATACAGAAAAAATATATGCACTGGAAGCAAACTGCTGTGATTTATAAATACTTTCAGATCAGAAATCCATTAAGGATTTAGTTAAATTAGCAGTGCTAAAATACTATGACATGGCAAGCAGTTTATTCAGAAGTGTGCTATTTATTTGTATTGTGTTTGTCATTACTTGTAACCACAATCACGAGTGAGAGATTATTTTCAAAACTGTAACTAATAAAAACTTATTTGAGAAACACTATGACACAAGATCGGTTGTCAGACCTATCACTGAGTGTTGAAGCTGAGATGTCTGAGAAAATAGACGCCCCGGTATTGATAAATAATTTTGCGGACATGGAGGTTAGAAGCAGCAAATTTTAATAAAGAAGGAGTTTTTTGTCTTTATGACGAATTTTGGCCACAAGTGTTATAATTATACTTAATTAACAAAAACATTAGAGAAGACCAGTATGGACCAAGAAAAAGGCAAAAATTGATTACACATATTTTTAAGAAAATCATGTATTTAACTAGTTGAGTGTACCAAAAAGTATTTTAAAAAGAGAGGGGGAAAAACTTTACCATACCATTCCATAAAAAAAAATTACCACTCACCATATTTTCTACAAAGATTGCATGTTCAAATATTTTCTTTATGAAATTTTTGATAATAAGTTTTATATTTAACAAATGTATCGTTTACATTATAAAAGTTCTTATTTATTACTTGCATATATCATTGCATAAGTCATGTTCACAGAGCACAGAGAGTAAATCACAGAGCACTATATATTAGTGTAATTTCTTATTTGTACGTTTACCTATTATGCTGAGTTCATAGCATAACCGGTTATTTATTAGTTTTCTAAATTAAACAAAAAAAAAAAAAAAAAAAAAAAAAAAAAAAAAAAAGTAGATTGGGACAGATTTTTATATAAAATATTTTTATAAATTATTTATATTATATTTGTATGTAAAACTTACTGGATTTTATTTAAAAAAAACCTCTGAAGATCTTGGCTTTTTTTCATCTTCTTAATGCTAAAAACTTTACAACGTCGTGCTCTTTTTTCATATAGACTTATTCATTTGTTATCAGTATGTATTTCAGGGAAAGGAGAGAAAAATCTGTCTCTCACACACACACCTCACAAAATATCTTAAATAAACTAGTTAAAATTATCTGATCTCAAATATTACACCCAGAGTAAAGTAAATTTGCATTTTTACAGTTGGTGAAGGGAAAATATTTTCCTTATTATTCTTTCTTCATGTTACGTATCTTTCAACTGGTTCCCTAAAAACGTGCTTTTATTTTTTAATAACTATTCATGATCTTATAAAAATCATCATGAAAACATTAGCTTCTAGAATACTTGATTTTTTTCAATTTTCCATTTTTTTTAAGCACAGTTAGTTTATCAGGAGGGCCAGGAAAATTTTTTGCATAGGGGCCCAAGAGTTCTAGTTATGCCAATGGACAGAAACATTCCTCACAGAAGTCTCTTAGATTTATTTGTTGCACATACATAATGCAAGTACAACTATAATACATACACAGGTTCATACATATAGAATAATTATACATATGGCTCTTTTTAAAATTTAATTACAAACATATACAACTCATTCCTATTAAATGAGATATTTTGACACACTAGTATCTTGG